CTGAGTAAGTTTTGTTATAGACAGAGATAGATTCCTGCGCAACGCAGAGAGCACCGTACAGTACAAACTCTCACAGCATCTATCACCACATCTCGAGAGCACAACTACGAGACACGCAGAGCCAGCACAGGAAACTCACAGCAAGACGAAAATCAGATGGACTCAGGGATGGTAGCGAATTAGACATATCAAGCAAGTCAAGGTAGGCACTGCCTTGGCACCCAACTATGCCATGAGAGCTCGCACTAAGCGCTTCACCCTCGAGTGGAGTCTCTAACCCAAGTACACACAAGAGAGAAAAAGAAAACACTCAAGAAAATCAAAATGAAATTCAGGGGATCCAGCAGTGAGGGTCACTATCACAAGGTCCATCGAGTCCACCAAGAGATCAACCAGCAGGCCAATCGTGATTATTCAACACCATGTCAATAACAGTCTTCTCAAGAGCTAAGAATTTACTTTCTCTCTCCGCAAACTAAAAGTCTATGACTACCCCCTAAGAGGAGGTCAGTATGAATGGGGCGATATATACAGTTGGTGGTTAAAGAATTCCATATGTGTCAAAAAGTATTACATCCAATGCACCCAATGTTCCTGATAGGAACTCCAGAGAATGCCCTCAGACAAATGAGGGAGTAAACCAAGAAAGAGGAAGATAAATAAAACAAATTCCCAGGGTAATGATAAAAGAAACATCTCAGGAATATAAAAGATCACCAGCCACAGAGAGCAGCCAGTCCAGACCAAGGCAAGTCAGAATGTTCCAGGAGAAATTTTCTCAAAAACATGAACATAATAAAATACCTGATAATGTCAGCAATTTTTACAACTGGGGGATAGTGCAGAAACAATATATTTTAATATTGTGGGGGGAAACAAAAAGTTGTGCAGCCAAAAGAAAATGTTCATAGTTTAATATAACACGATCCAAATAATGTAAATACTGAGGAGAGGGATGTAACTCAATGGTAGAGCATTTACCTATCATGCAGGAGGCCCTGGGTTCAACCTGCAACAGAAATAAATAAATAAATAAACATGAACATCGATCTATTAAGACATGTCATGAAACGTAACTCTCTTGGGAATATGGGGAACAGTATGAGGGCATGTCTAGGGAACAAGTCAGAGAGAAGTATAAAAGAATAAGAAGAAAGTACTATATACGACAAACCTACAACCAACATCATACATAATGGTAAAAAACTGAAACCATTCCCCTAAAATCAGGAACAAGACAAGGATGCCCACTATCCCCACTCCTATTCAACATAGTCCTGGAATTCCTAGCCAGAGCAATTAGGCAAGAAGAAGAAATAAAAGGAATACAAACAGGTAAAGAAACTGTCAAAATATCCTTATTTGCAGACGATATGATCCTATACCTTAAAAACCCAAAAACTCTTAGACACCACAAACAGCTACAGCAAGGTGGCAGGATACAAAATCAACTTACAAAAATCATTAGCTTTTCTATACACCAACAACGAACAAACTGAGAAGGAACACATGGAAACAATTCCATTCACAATAGCCTCAAAAACAAATCAAATACCTAGGAGTAAATTTAACAAAAGATGTGAATGACCTCTACAAGGAGAATTACAAATTTCTGAAGAAAGAGATTGAGGAAGACTACAGAAGATGGAAAGATCTCCCATGCTCATTGATTGGTAGAATCAACACAGTAAAAATGGCTATACTACCGAAAGCAATCTACATGTTTAATGCAATTCCCATCAAAATCCCAATGACTTTCATCACAGAGATTGAAAAATCTACCCCAAAGCTCATTTGGAAACACAAGAGACTGTGAATAGCCAAGGCAATACTCAGCAAAAAGAGCAATGCTGGAGGTATCACAATACCTGACTTCAAACTATATTACAAAGCAATAGCAATAAAAACAGCATGGTACTGGCACAAAAACAGACATAAAGCCCAGTGGAACAGAATAGAGGACCTGGATACGAATCCACAACTATACCTACCTCATTTTTGACAAAGGTGCCAAAAATATACGATGGAGAAAAGACAGCCTCTTCAACAAATGTTGCTGGGAAAAGTGGTTACCCGTCTACAAGAAACTGAAACTAGATCTATGTCTATCACCCTGTACTAGTATCAACTCAAAATGGATCAAGGACCTAAACATCAGACCTGAAACTCTGAAGATACTACAGGAAGGAGCAGGAAACACTCTGGAACTAATAGGTATAGACAAGGACTTCTTCAGTAGAACTCCAGCAGCCCAGCAACTAAGAGAAAGGATGGACAAACAGGACCTCATAAAATTAAAAGCTTCTGCACAACAAAAGAAATGGTCTCTAAACTGAAAAGGCCACCTACAGAGTGGGAGAAAATATTTGCCAGCTATACATCAGCCAAGGGACTGATAACCAGAATAAACAGGGAACCTAAGAAACTAAACTCTGCTAAAATCAATGAACCAATTAAGAAATGGGCAACTGAACAGAGCTTTTTCAAAAGAAGAAATTCAAATGGCCAAAAAACACATGAAAAAATTCTCACCATCTCTGGCCACAAAGGAAATGCAAATCAAAACCACACTAAGATTCCACCTCACCCCTGTTAGAATAGCCATCATCAAAAACACCACCAACATGTGTTGGTGAGGACGTGGGGAAAAAGGAACCCTAATCCACTGCTGGTGGGAATGCAAGCTGGTGCAACCACTCTGAAAAAAAACTTAGAGACTTCTTAAAAATCTAAACATAGACCTGCCATGTGATCCAGCAATCCCACTGCTGGGGATATACCCAAAGAATGAAACACAGGTTACTCCAGAGGCACCTGCACACCCATGTTTATTGCAGCACTATTCACAATAGCCAAGTTATGGAAACAACCAAGATGCCCCACTATTGATGAATGGATCAAGAAAATGTGGTACTTGTACACAATGGAATTTTACTCAGCCATGAAGAAGAATGAAGTCTTATCATTTGCAGGTAAATGGATGGAACTGGAGAACGTCATTCTGAGTGAGGTCAGCGAGGCTCAGAAGACCAAAAATCTATGTTCTCCCTCATATGTGGACATTAGATCTAGGGCAAATGCAGCAATGTGGTTGGACTTGGATCACACGACAAAGGGAGAGCCATAAGGGAGATATGCGAATAGGTAGAAAACCCAAAACACTCCAGAGGAACTAATACAGAAACCTTAAAACGACAGGTTATCATGAGCAGGGGATCAGGAAACAATGTAAAGATTAGTTAGAGATGAATCAACTTGGGTCGTAACACATGGGTACATGAAAGCAATGTTAGGAATCTCTCTGTATAGCTATCCTTAACTCAACTAGCAAAAATGCTTTGTCTTCCTTATTATGCTTATGTCTTTTCTTCAACAAAATTAGTGATAAGGGCAGAACAGATTCTGCCTGGAACTGAGGGGGGAGGGGGGAGAGAGGGTGGGGGAGGGGTGCAGGGTGGAGAAATGACCCAAACAATGTATGCACATGTGAATAAATGAATTAAAAAAAAAAAAAGAAACCAACAACAAAAAAAAAAAAGAAAGTAAATGCTTGCCTTTCATAAGAAGTCAATAGAGAATGCTGAAAATTTGGAAAATTTTATAAATTTGAAAAGTTACAACTCAAACGTGTTTGGCAGAATTACAGAAGAAAATACTAGCAAAAAGATTAAAATTGCTTGTCTCTGGGAAGTAGAAAATGGAGACAAATGAGTAAACAGGAAGAAGAGGGGCCTTCTTGTTCATCAGTGTGGCATGAGTACTTAATTCTTTATATGAATGTAAAGATTTGATATAAAAAACTAAACATAAAAAAAGCAAAACCAAATGCCCTTTCTGGGGCAAATAAAAGGATGGATGGAAGAAGCAATGTGCTAGCCATGACTGGAGCTTGGAAAGTAGCTCCAGTCAAGAAACTGGTCCTTGCCAGGGACAGGCAGGGGGTGTAGGAAAGAGGAGCAGGTGTCAGGCATGGAGAAAGGGGTTTAATTCTGAGTACCTAAATCAGCAAAGCTTCCAAAGCAGGGTTATGAATCATTTCTAGAATGCAATTAATGTGCTCCAGAATTTTTTTGTCCATCTCAAAAAGGCCTATCAAAATATTATATTGTTTGCAATATTGTTAAATGAAAAATTGTAAATATTCCAAGTACTTATCAATAAAAGACTTGTTTTTTATGTGGGGTTTTTTGTTTTTTGTTTTTTGGGTGTTTTTGGTGGTGGTTCTGGGGTTTGAACTCAGGGCCTTGTGCTTGCTAGGCTACACCCCCAGCCCTTTTTGCTTTAGTTGTTTTTCAGATATGGTCTCATACTTTTTGCCTGGGGCCAGCCTTGAACTACCATCCTCCTACCCACACCTTCCAGGTAGCTTGAATTTCAGGCATGCACCACCACAGCCTATTTGTTTGTTGAGATGAAGCTCTTGATAACTTTTTGCCCTGGCTGTCCTTGAACCACAATCCTCCTGATCTCCTCCTACTGCATAGCTGGGATTACAGGTGTGAGCCACCACATCCAGGAAGACTTAAGTATATCCATACAATGGAACCCAAACCCAATGTCTGAAATGAGGGAGAGCCCAGAGTGTTGATGATATGGAAAGATGCCCCAAAAGCACTGTTAAGTGAATGCAAAAATATATATAAATAGGAGAACAAATATAAGTCCATTTATGTGAAAAACTATACAATGCACATACACACACACACACATACTCAAGCACATAGATGCCTAGAAAAAAGTGGTGAAAGCTTATTCAGCCAACTATTGACAGTGGTTGTTTCTGGGAGGCAGACCAAAGGAACTCACACTTTATATCTTATATTCATTTGTTTTTCAAATATTTATTGAGCACTTCAATATATGATGTACTGTATTGTTTGAAGTTTTCACCATGAGAATCAGCAGGGAAAAAAATAAAGATTTACAAAGAAGAAAACTTAATGCTAAAATAACTAATTCAAATATATTTTCATTTTTAAAAATAATTTGTCACCTAGAAGATACATGCAAAAGCTGAGAGTCAATGAATGAATCCTTCTGCCTACTGTCATCAGCTAGGCACCTCGGCCACACTCCTGGCCCTGCAGGGCCAGCCCACAGGAAGCAGGATACAACGTGATTGCGTGATTGAACCCAGAGACTCACTTTGGGGAGTTTCTGGGAACTGGACAACTGGAATTCAGCTGAGTGACATAGTCACCAGTGCTAAGTGGTCCCTTGCAGCCTGCACGAGGCTTCGAGCATCCTTCTAACTGGGTGTAAGCTGAGGATCCACCTGTCTTTAGCAGCATGAGGCAGTGGGAAGAGGATAGACTGCTCTGAGACTGGTTCCAGGTCAGCAGGGGTAGCAGGGAAGCTGATTAGTGTGCTCCACTTGACATGGTCACCAAGGTGCCTGGTGCTGGGTGAGGTGCTCAACGAATCCCTGTGCACTTCTCAGAAAGGAGTCTCAAGACTTACCTACTGGCTTCCCAGCCAGCCAGGGCTAAAGTTGCTCCGTGACCACAGGCATGGAAGGATAGAGAAGTCAGGAGTGGGTAAGGCTGAGTGGAGGAGCCCACAAGTCAAAAAGATGATGTCCTTCAGTAAAAATACAGCATCAGAGGTTTGGGACCAGAAAGTCAGATGACTGTTATCAGAATGGCCTTCAAGAAATACAGGGGAACCACAAGCACACACTCAGAAGTGGAAACAGTTCCTTGGACTTCACAAGATGACCTCCTAAGGGGGTGAGGCTGGTTAGAAAGCCTGGGACACAGCAGCACGAGACCTCAACTGTCTCCCTAAGAACAGAAGAAATGCAAATTAATGTGTAAGTGCCAAATGCCATTTTTATCTAATAAATAGGCATTTCTAGATTTATAACCCACAGTGTTAATGAAAGCTATGGGAAACGGGGAAATTCTCAAACTTTGCTGGTAAAGGCATAAACACATGCAGCCTTTCTAAAAAGTAACTAGCCAATACATGTGACAATTTAAAACATGACATTGACTTTATAATAGGTGTAACGATTATAAATGTACCTGACTCTCCAAGTTAGCAATTCTGCTTCTCGCATTTCTCCGGGTACACTCACACAGCTCAACCAAGAGAGAAGGATGGTCACTGAAGCTTTTCGAAAGTCAGCTTAAATTTAAAAAAAGAAAAAGAGCCCATGGTAAGGGACTGGTACAGGTATATCATGAAGCTATCATGCTGATGTGGGAAGTTGCTTAGGCTACATTATTAAGTAAGAAACTCATTATTCAGATTATTATGAAAGTTATGAATTGATTTATATTAAAAGGTATGCACACACACCCACATTCACACACACCACACACACACAACTTCTGGAAGGATGTCTAAGAAATTAGCTGGTTGTTTTAGAGAGCAGAGGCTGGAAGAGTCTTTGACTTCTCACTACATTCTCCTCTGATCTGATGGAACTTTTTACCATGAATGTGATAACGTTAAAAACCCATTTTAGGTTTGGCAAGGTGGCTCATGTCTGTAATCCTAGCCACTTGTGAGGATCTCAGTTCAAGGTCGGCCTGGGCAAAAAAGCTCATAACCCACCCCTCATCTCAATCAATAAAAGCTTGACATGGTAGCCTGCACCTGTCATCTCAGCTACTCAGGAAGCACAAATAAGAGGGTAGCAGCCCAGCCCACCCCAGGCATGAACACAATGAGACCCTATTCAAAAAATAACAAAAACAAAAAGGGTTGGGGCATAGGCAGAGTGCCTACCTGACAAACACAGGTCCTACGTTCAAATCCCAACACTGCTAACACACACACACACACACACACACAATTTAGAGGCTGAGTGATAAAGCACTTCCCTAGCACATGTGGAGACCTGGGTTCCACCCTCAACACTGCAAAACACCCACACACACATGATTTAGCTGAGCAAATCCACTTGTAGGACTTTATCCTGAGGAAAACACTCAGCAAATCTTTGTGAATTAATTAGCATAAAGCAGAGATTTGGCTATGGCGATATTTACTACCACAGTGATGAGAACAGCAGTAAGCAGTCTGTATATCCAGCCACAAAGGACAGTTCCAGCCAGCATCAAGGGCATCGTCAAGCTAGGGACAATGTTGCATGGGAATATCTAATGATAGTCACAGGCATTTACAAAGAAAAAAAAAAGGAGAAAAAATTTGAGCTACAGAAATGATACGTGGTTAGCATGACCCTTCGATCATATAAAAGGTGGTGAAACTATTCCAGTTTTTCTTCCATTGTATTTCCTGACTTTCTATAATTACCACATTCTACTTTTTTAATATGGAAAAAGCTTTGTTCTTATAAATCAGTGATAAATCCAGAACAAAGGCTTGGATGAGATGCTTGCCTTGGTATAAAATGAATGATCTCCATAATCTCAGAAATGATCAAACGAATCAATTGTGGAATGCAATCAGATTTGGCTCACTGCCAGCATGTCCCACAACCACAAAGGAGTAAGTGACTGGTGCTCTGGCTTTGACAGTGGGGTGTGGCCCACACCTGGATGTGCTCTTGAAACACAGGCTCTACATCTCAGAAGTCCCTATGTGCCTGCCACTTGAGCCTCCAGGAGGACAGGGAGCTAAGGGCCAGGCTGAGTACATGACCACAGGGGACTTGAGATGGCAGTGTCTTGCATCAGGGTCTCAGGCAGCCCTACTCTGTCCTGTTGGGAGCCTGAAAGGGTCATATCCCTCTCTGACCCTCTGCTATCTTTATATCTGATGATATGCCCTACCCTGCTGATGGAAGTAGCAAATGAGATGCCTACTGCATGCCAGGAACTGACAGAGTGCTGTGTGGATGTGAGGTCACTCCTTGTCCATTCCATGGCTGGCCAACTCTCACAGAGCCAGCACAGACACCTGGAGATGGCCCCAGGAATGTGCTGCACCATCCCCCGCCACCTCTCAGAGTGCTCAGCCACACACACCTGCTGCTCCCTCCCTGCCACATCTTTCAAGGAAGTCAGAGTTCCAAAGAAAAGCAAACCCCTTGGGCGGCTGCTGGGAGCAACAGTAGCCCTACTGTCCTAGTTATGTGAATCCCTCTGCAAAGAAAGTTTTCACAAAGAGAAAGGCAAAGAAAAAGGGGGGTTATGACAACAGAAGGGCAGAGCAAACCATTTCAAGTCCTGACACAGGCAAACTGGTTCTGAAAGTCACCTGTTTCTGAGCAAGAACGCAAAGCTCTGTCCTGTCATGCCACACAGCTGGGTCACTGTGCATTGCCAACTGACTTATGTAAGCTTGTGAAAAAAAATCCATTCGTTTGAGTTCCCTGTTTGTGCAAATAGTGTCAGGGGTACATCCGAGCACCCTGGCCATCCATCATCACCAGTGCACTTCCCAGGCTGGCAATGACTCACCTCAAGCCGAACCCACACTGTACATTCGACAGGCAGCTTCTGTCACCATGAGGCCTCGTGGCCTGTAAATGCCTTCTCCCAACTTATCAAGCCCACAATAGCTGTATTACTGATGAAACCCTAAGCACTCATCAGGGAGAGGAAAGGGGCCAGTGACTGAGAGGGGGTGTGTGTGTGTGTGTGTGTGTGTGTGTGTGTTTATTTTCATCATTCAGCCCAAGCAAGGCTTGGGGGGTTCAGAAACAACTCCACTGCAGCACATCTGCTCTGGAGATCATGGGATAGTAAGATACTAAGATCCCTGGGTCACAGCGTGAGGGTGGGGGGCCTGCCTCAAAGCCTGTAGAGACTCCCATGTCCACATCCAGGTCAACCACACCCACAGAGAACTGGTCTATCCCCCATCAATGCTAAGTCACCTACTCAACCCCAAATGGGAATTCTTTTCTAGAAGCCCACTTTAAAAAACAAAAGGCAGGGCCTTGAGGTGTCACTCAGTGGTACAGTGCTTATACAGCATGCAGGACACCCTGGGTTCAATTCCCAGCAACCACACACCCCCTCCCAAAAAAAGAAGAAAAAAATGCAAACACGCTCTTTAGTAGCATCAGAGCACAATTTCTATGGACCCAGAAGGGTTCAAGTGCATGCACCACAGCTAGCCCCATTCTGCATTTCGCGGTGTGATTTACAGGGCCTCATATCCAATGCCTTGCCTTTACACACCAACAAAAAACAGACAAGCCCCATTTGCACCCCTGAAAATCAGTTACATTTTCATGAGCACCTGGTTACATATTTGACATGATCTCACATGAGCAAACAGTACAACATAACCCATTATGTGACACTTCAAATTTATGCTTTAGATTATCAGTACATGTTGATCTTTGCTATTTGTGTACATAAACAAATACAGATACATTTAGACATTCATGACTGAGGTAGAAACTCCAGTTAATGATAACATTAGCCCACCAATGCTAACACCACCCAAAGAGACCGGAAAATGATAAGCAGAGGTCCTCAACATGGTTTTCACTGAACCAATACCCTGAAAAAAATCAGTAGTATTGCTTCTGCAAGTCCCTGAACAATAGGACTGGAGAGGTCTACTTGATAAGACAGGTCACTAGACAACACCTTGGCCCCCAAGCACACATAAACATCTGGGATGGACTTCTTGTTCCAACAGGGAAGACGTAGCCAAATCCCAGTTATTCTTAAGTTATTCCTCTTTGTTGAGCATCTCTCTAAGCCAGACACTTTCCCACTGGCTGGGACACAGCAGTGAACAAACACAGCAAAGGTATCTTTGCTGCAGGGAGCTTGCAGTCTAGTGAGGACTTTTACTTGTGCTGACTCATTTCTTACTTGATGCAGCAAAGGTCTTTTCATGTCACACTCTTGTCAAGAATCTCATTTTTCTCAAATACTTAAACCAATGAATGTATCTACTGAAAGAACCATGTGAGCCTGATGTAGATCTACCATGAGAAAAGAGATACATGAATTATAACATCAGTCCTACTTTCTGTCCCTGAGTTACCTCAGAAAGGTCAGCTGTCAGTCTAAGGTTGACACAGCTGAGTGCCTACCCTCCAGCTGCAGGAAGCCTTGGACATCAGATCACCTCTCCAGAATCCAAGGAGACCTTGAAACATCTAGCAAGTCTTAAAAATGTTTCTATGAATGCCCTCAAGAAAGTTATACCTAGAGTTAAAGCTGCTTCTTGGAAAAATGTGTCACCAGATAAAGATAACTCATTTTGTGGGATCTAATTGTGAGCTTGAGTGAGTTCCTAAAAGGGAAATAAGGAAAAAATACCATACTCCCCTCGGCATGGACCATGGAAAGAGATCCCGTCTGGCAGAGGCCAATGAGCTACACACAGCTCAAGGACAGAACTTAGCCAGCTCAACAGAGATGGGGGATGTGACATACCTTCCTCCTATCGGGTACAGGCTGAGGACAGAAGAGGCAGGCAGAGCCAGCTATTGCCCCTTGCTGACTTTGGCCATAAGTCTTCCAGCCTGGACCCCTCACCTGCCTGGCTTCCAAGGGAACATCCCTAGCCACCTGAGGACAGGCTAACCCCAACACTCCTTCAGCAAATTAGGGGGGAAATGGAGCCCATCCAGGCTTTTAATCATTCTCTCTGATTCATCTTCTGAGAACCCAGAGACAGGAGGTCTTGCCGAGTGTGCTCAGAACTGGGGTAATGTACTTTCTAACCAGAAAGCACATCTCAGCTAGTTACCACCTCATTTATCTGTCCAGAGCAGTTATAATTATAGTATTCACTTCATAATTGCTGCCTATTTGCAAATACAAAATCCCTGAATCTTAAAATAAATTACAGTTCCCTTTTTCTATTTCACAACCATTGTGTTACTGGTATACAAAGAGGAGGGGATACCTCCAATTATTACTTTAGTAACAAACCTAAAGTGAGCAAGGCTTGACTTTTCAGAAGGTGATATGACTCATTAGTACTGAAGAGAATTATTGAAAATAATTTTATTGAGCAGGCTTAATTATGGATTTCCCAATTCTGACTTCAAGGACCAATGAGAGCAACATTTGATCTGCCCTTTTTCTGGCTTGTTGCTGACCTCGGCATAAAGGATAAGAAAATCCAAATTTGCTGTGGTCATTTGATATCACTGACTTAACTTGCTGATTGTAATCATTTAACTGCTATTTAAAGTGGGCTCTGGACCTCTCTAGAGACAAGAGTGTACAACATGGGGTATCATTCTATGCCTAGGGACTGGCAGGAAACTTGTGGTGAGCTGGCCTTGTGTCTTGGTGCTAAGGGAGGCAGAGGACAAGTGTGCAGCTGGGGCCAGGGCACCAGGACCCTGCCAGGCAGGAAGGCAGCAGGCAACAGGTTTAAACCTTACTTTTAACGTGCCTTTTGCCTCTGAGTGAAGCCAGCCGCTGACACAGCTGTCAGAGTCCAAACAAGAATGCTGGGAAGACTCCGTGCTGCTATGCAGAGAGGAGGGACTGACAGAGTCACTCCCAACCCATGAGATGTTTGAGCCAGGTGTGCCCAACAAAAGGCCACACCACCATGCTACCACCTACAGAGCCCATGTTTGCTTACCACAGGCAGAGGGGAGGGGGCCCCCTTGGGCCTGTGCTGAGCTCACACCAGGCTTCAGGGAAGCAAAGCCTTACCTTCTGAAACAGGCACCTTCTTTCCTGCTGGAGGCAGCATGGAAGTTCCCAGTCCTGGATCTTCTGATACATTCCCAAGCAGCACTGCTCTCAGACCAGGATGAACTCAGGGCCCCTGTCAGAGAGGTAGAGTGACCACATCCCTGCATCCCCCAAGGCAGGGACAAGAGCACAGGGTTGTGGTCTTCCCTCTGCCTCCTTGGCTGCCCCTGCCAGCCTGCCAAGGGCCTCTCCACAGCCATCAACCCACACACCTTTACTGGGGTTCCTGATGTTCAAGGCTATATCCCAGTGCTGGGGATGTCACTGACAGGTGATAGAAAACTCATGGGATGTCACTCACAGAGATGAGTACCTTCCATGCATCAGTCTCCAAGCCAAAAGCCAGTGGCACATGAGAAAATGGAAGAGTAGACTGTGGGGTGGCTCAAGTGGGCCCTGAGTTCAAAAAAAAAAAAAAAAGGAGGAAGGAGGGAGGGAGGGAAGGAGAGAAGGAGTAAGAGAGAGAGGAAATGATGTAAGCTGAGACAAAGTGATCAAGTCTCTGCCTCAAGAGGCTGCTGTCCAGCATAGCTGGATCACCCACTGTTCATGCCAACTATATGACCTTAGCTACCAAGCCCCTAACCCTTAGCCCTCATCTAAAGAGAAGAACAAAAATACTTTGTCAGATGGATAGATACTGACCAAACATTTCCAAATGCTACCTGTGAGAGCACAGCCCCGCAGCAGGCTGCCTGGGTTTGGGTCCAGCAACTCCCTTGCTAGCTGTGTGTACCCAGGGCAGGTCAGACATCTAATGCCTATTCCTATGGGCAAAGAGCCATGAGAAGTGCAGCTGGGCCTGGAGGGGGTCCATACCCAACAATCCCGCCCCCACAAAAAAAAAAAAAGAATAGCTGCTTCACAGGGCTGCTGGTGTGAGAAGAAAATAAGTAAGCAGTGAGGGCATTGCCTGGCACACAGCTGATATTTTTTAAGAGCTTGTCATTCTTATTTTCTTTATGGTCATTCATCATTATCAGAGGGATCCCTCCCCAGACTTGGTGAGGATCAGAGAGAGGAAGGGCAGTCCATTGGAGAACTGAAGGCCCAGGTGGGTGTGAGCCATACCAGCTGAAGAGGTAGGGAAGAGAAGCAGCCCGGGCAGAGGGAACCATGTGCAGAGGTGCACAGGCCAGAGGGAGCAGGGTAGGCTAGCAAGGGGTGAAGTCCACCAAAGAGCACTGAGAGCTTGGCCCTGTGCAAATGCAGATTGTCCACAGTTGTTTTTTTCATTAAGCTCCAAAAGAAGCATCTACAGGCACCAAAGTAGCCCTGGGTTGAGTTCTGCAGGGCACATGGCATGAATAAGACCCTTTGCTAGCTAGGGATTCCCAGAGTCCTCATCCAGACCCCAAAGTTCAACCAGAGCTTTCCCACTTCAGCCAACGCACTCATAGATGCCAGACCCAGTGCTCACAGGGCACCCTGTGCCTTGGACTCTTCTCTAAGACACACACAGCAGCCCACCATGCAGCTGGAAGTTCCCAAAGCTTACCATACACCACTGCTGCCTGACATCCGTGTCCTCCAGTGGGCATTCCAGGAGCTACATATTATAAGGTCCTGGCTGCTCTTTGTTCACTTGAGGTTTGGGGTTCATGTTTTTTAAAACAGAGTCAGTTTCTAGTCTACAGCCTTCTCAGGGCAGGTTAACATCTGACCACCCCTGATTTTGCAAGAGGCAGGCAGGCAGCCTGGGAACTTGGAAGAGCTGGGCCTGGTAGACTGGTGAACTGCCAGGTAGAGGTAGGGAGGGATTCACTGGGGCCCCTGACACCCATCTTGGCAAACATGACCAGAATCTGACACTGAGCCATTTCCCATATGGTTCTGGTAGCCATACTAAACCAGGTAAGGGTGCTAACCAACCCCTCCTGAGCAGATGGAAGAGAACCTAGTAGCCAATAGCCCATTTCCCAATCCTGGATCATTACTCCTTGCCATGTAATCCGGGCCTCCTTCTGTACCTCGGTTTCCTCACTATAAATCAGTTCCCTAGTAGCCCCTACCTCAAGATGTTGTCTGTGGAGTAAAATAATGTGCATCAAGGGCCCAAGAGGCCTGGCCCAGTCTGGCTTTCAGTACAATTAGCTATTATCTATTCCAGCTCTTTTCTGGAAGGGAAACCAATGAAGAAGCTATCATTGGCATCCCTAGGCAACATGTCCCACTCTTCCGCACTCCAAGCACACTCAGGGACATGCAGAAATCACTCTGGGTACTTCTTGTTTACTGGGAGACAACCCTAAGAAAAGAAAAAAAATTTTTCATTCAAACTTTTGGGGATACTTTTTTTTTAAAGATTCAAGCCAGGCAATCCATCCCCTCAAAACTCTTCTAAAACCTAAGGCAGAGAAGCATTAAGCAGCTTATCATGTGATACACGTGATAACCAAGTCCCATTTGGAACTACATTTTGGTGCCAGTGCTGTGTTTGGTGCACCATGTGCGTGCACTCATGGTACTGGGCTTCCATGAGTAATGAATGGATGGTACAGCACTCCCACTTAAAAGCTGTAACTCCCTGGAAGGGGAGCTCAAGGTGGGTGGGTTTCCTGTCCATGATATCCTATCGACTGTGAGGCTAAGGTTCTATCTTCCCTATGTCTTCCTCTGGCAACAAGAGTCTCCTTGAGGGGAGGGAACATGGATCACACAAAGTCCCAAACAGGCAGGTGCAGCAGGCTGTGTTAACAGCAAGAGTATCACAGCACAGCTGGGAACCACCATGGTCCACAGAGAGTCCACATCCCTGGAACGCATGGTCCTCACATGCACAGAGAGCCCTGGTCCTCACTCTGCCTTTCTTTCTTCCCCCCAGGGTTGCTACAGAGGCCACCCAACCTGATAGTGCCTAGGAGAATTCAGATATCCCTCCAACGGTGATCCCCTACTGCCCTGTGTGCCCATGCCCCCTCCCCAGAATAACCCCCAAAAGTTGTTCTGACCTGCCAGGAACAGCAGGCTGCCCTCCAGCAGGTGAGCAACGTCCCCTCCCCATACAACCAGCGCAGATCCTAGGAGCAGACACCACTCTCAGCATGACAAGCTGGGGGCCCCAAAACTACGGCACAGCCTTATACCTTGTAATTAGTCCATTGGCCCAGGCAGAGGACAATGGCCTGAAAAAGCCAGCAAATGGGATACGTGCATGATAACTGGGCCTCTGTGCCAAGTGTGTGACTTAATTATACAGCCCAGGTACTCTCTTCTCTTGTGAACTCTCACCCCAGCCAGTGATGGCACAAAAGAGGGATTAGGGATTGCCCCACCAAGGGCCAGTGAGGCCAAGATTGATTCCTTCAAGTAAAGAGGCTGCTGAAACCAATGATAGGGCCAAGGGGAGTGGCCCTCTATCAGCCCCACAACAGACAAAGCAGGAGGTGGGTAGTAGGTTTTCAGCTGCCCTGACCCGCATCAATTCTAGGTCTAATTCTAAAATGCCTTCCGAAACAGAAAAGACTTTCTCTGCATGGTGTCCACCCCACATCCCACCCCCCTCTGTCCCCCGGCTAGTCAGGTACTGCTTTGGCCTGGAAGTCCCCACTCTGCACATCCACAGCATCACCCCAGCATCTTCTAGGATGAGGGTACAAAACCTGTCCTGAGGAAAGCAGTGAGGAATTGCACTGTTGGGGAAGAAAATATGGTCACTAACTCCACTGGGCAAGGGAATCCAACCATAGGCTCCCTCTCTCCAAAGAGATAAGGTCCTTTGCAGCCTCTAGAGGCCCAGTATGGCCATGAGATAGTGTCTTCTTCCCCTGCAGCTGAAGCAAGGTAAAGCAGAGTGCATACCTGGTAAGGATTGCTCTCACCCTAAGCCCATCACCTGTACCCCTGATTCCCCGTCACAGGTGGTAGACCTCCTGCATCATGTCTAGATAAAACCTGTGGTCAGCTCCTGAAGATTCTTGCAGAAACTGGGTGTGGAGGCACAAGCCTGTAATCTCAGTGACTCAGGAAGCAGGGGTAGGAAGATTATGGTCTGAGGACAAAAGCTAGACCCTACCTGAAAAATAAGCTGGAGAAAAAACGGTCTGAGACATGTCTCAAATGATAAAGCACCTGCCTAGCAGCTGTGAGGCCCTGAGTTCAAACCCTAGTACTGGAAAAAAAAAAAGAAGAAGAAGAAAGAAAGAAAGAGAGAGAGAGAGAAAGAGAGATGTCAGACAGCAAGCCCCAGCCTCAGAGAGACCCAGGGTACTTGTCCCAGGACTTCTCTGCTGATGTATGCTGTCCCAGGGTGGAGGCAATTGGCAAAGGTTATTGTTATGGTGAACTCAGTGTCACATGTGGACCATTTTCCCCAGCATTCTATAATGCACCCAATTCTAGCCCACATGAGATCCCAGCTTTCAAAGATCTGGCCTGATATAGCCAAAGGAATGTAAGTCAGGATAAAATAAAGATACTTATATACTGATGTTTATTGTACTATTCACAATAGCCAAGCTATGGAAAAAACCAAGATGCCCTATAACTGATGAATAGATTAAGAGAGTATGATATGTGTGTGTGCATGTGTATATTATATATATTGTGTATATATATATATATATATACACATACATATACATACAATGGAATATTATTCAGTCATAAAGAAGAATGGAATTATGTCATTTGCACGTAAAGGGATAGAACCAGAGACTGAAGTTGAGCCAAGTAAGTCAGGTTCAGAAAGACAAAGGTTGCATGTTTTCTCTCTTATGTGGAAGATAGATCCAAAAGATAAACATGTATACAACAACAAGTATGATCAGGGAAAGGGTAAGGAAGAGTAACAGAGGGGATTAGGCCTGATTAAAGTACAGCATAGTCACAGGTGAAGTGCCTGTGAAACTCCTCTGAACAATGAACTTGAATAACAAAGGACAAGAATGTTCTGTTGGGGAGACAGTCCAGAACTAGTGGGAGGGGAGGGTGAATGGAGAGGGTAAAGGAGGGTGAGGATGGCTGATGCACTTTATATATAGTTATGAAGACAGAACATTGACACCATTTTAAGTAGGGAGGAGGAGATGAGGGAGAATGGTGGTGGGGATGAACCTAACCAAGGTACATTGTGAGCATATGTAGAAATGTCACAATGGAACCCCCTGTACAACTAGTATATGCTAATAAAATGTTTTTTAAGAAAAGCTTTCTTCTTGTTTGAGCAAAGAAAGAAAGAAAAAGAAAAAGGAAGGAAGAGAGAGTGGGAGGGAGGGGGCAGGGAGGGGAGGGAGAAAGAAGGGGAAAAGAAGGAAGGAAGGAAGGAAGGAAGGAAGGAAGGAAGGAAGGAAGGAAGGAAGATAGATCTGGCCTGGTTTGCTCACAGCATTAGGAGCACAATTTCTTATGTCACAGTGGACTGTTCCAACTGTGTGTGTTGATGAAAGGGAGAGAACAAAGCTTGCTAGAAGAGTCACAGAGGGATGGACCAGAGCAGGATCATCAAGCTTTGCCTGGCCTTGCCATGAAGAAGCAGTTAGCCCAGGTGCCAGTGGCTCACGCCTGTAATCCTAGCTACTCAGGAGGCAGAAATCAGGAGGATCGCGGTTCAAAGCCAGCCTGGGCAAATAGTTCGTGAGACCCTATCTCAAAAAAAAACACACACAAGAAAGGGCTGGGGGAGTGGTTCAAGGTGTAGGCCTTGAGTTCAAACCCCAGTACCAAAAGAAAAAAAAAAAAAAAAGAAGCAGTTAGGCCAGGAGCAGGAAGATGGGAGGTCAGTAATTCATTTGATCCCTCCCCACCCTGCAGCTCCATAAACATGGTAGGCTGCATCCCCACCTACCTCAGGGAGAGACAGTGACAGGACCTGGGCTGTGATCTGAGCAAGAGGCCTCTGGACAGGGACAGGGATGGGACTCTGGAGAAGAGAGGACCCCACATAAGGGTATATAGATCCCAGCCCCTAAGACCTCACCGAAGCTACCTTTGATGTGTTGACAAGCCTTCGACATTGAGTCCCTCTGACTCCCAGGCCTGCTGAGTCCCAGCCCTATGCCTGCACTGTCTGTCATGGTGGCTGGGGCCTGCTGGGGACTCCCAGTCAGATCCCCCCAAGATGTAGTGGGCACATAGCCAGCACGTCTCACTGCCTAAACTCCAACATCCGCGCTGCTGTCCAGGATGCTGAGGGGGCCACCCTTCCCCGAGCAGGCAGGGGAGCTCTCTAGGAGCCACACTGAGAGCCAAGGCAGCCCCACAGCCACTAGCTGAGCCCCACTCACTAGAGACCACAGCAAACCATCATTCCCCACATTGTGACATTATCAGTAAAAGAACCTCCCCAGGCCTCTGCTTCTCATCTGTGAAATAGCCCCTCTGTAACTGTACCTCTAAACACAATTTTTGATGTTCACTCATTAACCTTTTCACGAATAAACTGTGATTCTCTAGTCTGTGGCTAAAATTGAGTACCAAACTGGCGGATCATTTGCCACTTCTGTAGAGTTAGAGCAGATTTCTGGAGCGCTCCAGTTTGCTTTCCTTAGGGGCAATGACGAGGCAGAGAATCAGAAGAGGGGTGGCGGGAGGCAGCATCAGGAGGCACTGCCTGGCACAACACAGCCTCCACCTTACCAGAGTCAGACAGAGCGACCCAGCAGTGAGGGATCTGGCCTGCACTCAGATCACCCTGGTTTCCAGTTCCAGTCCCACTGTCTCCCTGCAGCCTCACACTGGGAAAGTTGGTAGACCTGCCAGGCCTCAGTGTTCTCATCCCTAAAACAGGAGTCACAACAGCACCTGCCTCCTAGGGCTGTATCAGAAAGCCCACAGCTCAAGGCCTGCCTCACACTGGGCAGGCTCATCGGGGCTCATCCTGCTCTCTCTCAGGTGACCTGTGCTGAGGCAGCCTTCTCCTCATGTGGCTGCAGAAAGGCTGGCACTTTGTAGGATCCCACACACACCTGATCCTGGGTCCAGCTAGGCATAGAGATGCTGCCCCCACATTTCCCTGCCCCACTCCCCTCCTCATCTGGCTCCATTTGGGGCTCTTTTAAGTGTCAGGATAGACAGAAACAGGGAAGTCAGAAGAAGTAGGGATAAAGCCAGTCAGGTGTGAGAGCCCTAGAATTGCCCCCCTCCAGATGGTGGCAGGTGCGGTGATCTGGGGGCCAAGACCTGTGGGAGAGGGGTCCAGAGTTTCAAGAGGAAGGGGGAGCATACATCCTGAGTCAAAGCAACTTAACAACAATCAGGTAAGACAAAACTTAACAAAGAGGATACGAAGCCACAAAAAGGGCAAGTCATCTTCCCAAGGGCACACAGCTAACTGGTAGAGGTACCACTGCAACCCATGCAGTCTGACCAAGAGCCCTTGCTCCAAATCACTCTTTGTGATGTCTTTTCAATCCTACCTACCTTCTAGCCCAACCTGGAGCCCTGGCCCAACTCCAGCCCATGCTCACCACTGCCACCTGGGAGAACCGGCAGGCTCAGCCTGGGAGGATCAACTCTGTACACAGGCTGGAAAGGGGCTGATGAAACAGTGGCCATGCCCCCCGCCATGACTGGGGGGCAGCCGCCTCACTGTCCTGCTGCCAGCCAGCAGGCTCAGAGCAATGCCACACAACTCGGCAGCGGGCAGGGCAGGGTGAAATCCCTCTTTATAGAGTTATTTTTGCTGTGGAATTTTCACTGGCCTGTAAAATATTTTTATATTTATTACACGTTTAACGGGAGCTCCTAGAACCAACAGGGTGTAAATAATGAAAACTAGGGCAGTAAAGGCCCCAATAAACCTCGCACCAGCCCTTTGATGCTCCCTATGAGCTCCAGTTTCTCCTTCCTCCCCAGACCCTGTCCCTTTGCCCTGGAGGAAGCCCAGAAGACCAGGGGACCCTCAGGAAGTCTAGCGTTGGCTCCCAGAGATAAGCGTCACCCATTGGCAGTGGGTCTGTGCCCATCAGCAGAAGGCCAAACAAGAAAGGGCTTGCTATGTGCTCAGCCAAGGCCAGAGCTCACTGGACCTAGACCAGGAGAAGACCACCATGAGGGCCTCCACCTCCCCCAGCCCTGCAACCACAGATGTTCCCAGGTCCTAACACCAACCAAACAGACACACCCTGAGTAATCACATTCCCAGGGCCACAGTTTCCTTGAGGACCCATAAGTCTCAGGAGGAAGTGTTCCATCCAGAAATACTGACCTGCACAGGCTCTGCCACGCTCCAGCTCACTTATCTGCATCCTGCACATGCAAAGGGCTCCCAGAGCCCCATCTGCACCCTACTCCCCGGGCCTCTTTTATACCATCCACAGGACAAAACCCCAGAAGGAGCAGGACCTCTAGACAGGAACACAGAGGCACAGAAAGTGAGAGAGACCTCCTCCTGCCAATTGGTGGACAGCCAGGACTAGCCTCAGGGCTGGATACCCTCTGCCTGGGGAGGGAGGTCTAGCCTGAGCCCCTTCCCAGACAGGAATCATCTCTCCTCGTGTCAACAGCAACTACCCAGTTCTACCCGCCAGAGACCAACCCCAATGACCAGGGACACAGGCCCTGACAATACAGTCCAGCCCTGTCTCGGTCCTCTGATAAATCAGTAGCTGAGCACAAACCTTCCTCCCCAGAGATGAACCCAGTCAGCAGCTGCTCCTCCTCACACCTGCCAAAAAAAAGTCCCTTCCCAGAGTGGCCATGGATCCCAAAACACCCCTCACATGACAAAGTGCCAGCTCCAGGCTGCTTGTTCCTCTTACAGTGAGGACCCTCTCCCAAAACACCCTGTCCCTTCACTCGAAAAAGACTCATAAACTTCAGTCATGCATCTGAAGGTGGCTTTTGAGAGTGTTCACTAAGCAACCATGGCACGTGACCAGCTAACTCCAACTTTGTAGCCAAAATACTCACCACTGAGTCTGGTCTGTTCCACCATGGACCTGAACCTAGATGCAAGAATCCTCATTTCTCTTCAGTAAAGGCCCCTTGCTGGCTGTGGCCACCACTGCAAGCCCCCTCCTCAGCCCCCATGCAGTCAGAGCTGCATAGCAGCCTTGGCACGTCTGCAAGACCACACAAGGTGCCTATCCTTCCTCTCAGGCACTCTGAGCAGTGCCAGCCACGCTCCACACCAACAGCCACGAATCTGCACCACCAAGAGAAGCACTGCGGGTGAGCAGGGCAGAATCCCCACGGGGGTACAGTCAGACAAATGCAAGGGTGAAGGGCACAAACTCCACAGCTTCTTAGACACGAGGCCGACTGGAGCGGCTCCTCTCTGGGGACAGATCAGGTGGCAGCTCTTGCCTGCAGCTGCTCCAGCACCAGGAGAGTCTTGTCTCTCAACCCCGGGTAATTATAGTCCCTGGTGCTCGGTTAACACCCGTGTCATTGCAGGGTGTTGGAACAAGCAGAGTCTGAGCGAAGAAAATTAAACAATGGCATTTGACAAGTGGCCCATCCCCTGTGGCACTGCACGGAGCCAGGCCAAAGGGGATGGTGGCTAGGCCTCCAGGCCCACCAGGGAAGCGCCACCACCTCAAGACAGGGAGGGGGCCCTTGGTAAGTAGGGACAACAGCCCATTTGGAGAAGCCAGGAGTCAGGAGAGGGGGAGTACAAAGCCCTGAAAAGGAAGCTGCTAGTCATATTTCTCCTCCCAGGGAGGCTGTGCAAACTTCCACACATAGAAGGGCTACCTGGACATCTGCTCCTCCGAGACTCGCTCACCCAGGGAGCCATAGCACAAAGGCAGATTCAGGGACACAGGAAGGTGTCCTGTCAAAGAGGACTGGGGCTCCCACCCTGCTTTCTGGGCTGAGCAGGGGAAACACAGCCTCACTGGGGAAAAGGTAGCACCATTCCCCACCCTCCCATAGCAAGGCCCCAGCTCCTGCGCACGCTCCTGAAGATAGGCTGGGGGAGGAGGCTGTGCCAGGGCCCTTCCCAAGCCCCCATTGTCTCAGCATGACTCAACTTCCCCATCGGGTCCTGCCACCTCGGGAGCTGCCACCTAAGATGTCGGTGCTAAGTCCCCATTTGCAGGTGCCAAAGGGTCTTCACCTACACCACCAAGTCCCCAGAGGGCTTCGGCACCAAGCACTCAATCTCCATCCCCTGCTCCACGAAAGCTCCTGGGTCCTGCAGTCGGTCAACAAACCATAACAGGTGCCAGCTGCACTGGACCACTTAGCGGCAGAGCAAAGGTTTGCAGAATTCCTCCCAAACACCATGCTAGTGCCAGCCACCCATAATGCCCTCCTCCTCAGGGTCCTTCCCCAGAAGCCTGAACCCAGGCCTCACCCTGAGGACCAGTGACAGGCCCAGCTAAGCCTTATCCCCAGCAGGGCCAGCAATGGCTGCAACCTCCCATTTTACAAGTGAAAAAACAGGCAGCTCAGGACTCAGTGATTTGTCTGACTTGACAGATCCAAGACTGAACCCCAAGCCTGACCATCTCCATGTCCCAAAGGACATCTGGGGACAGCCAAGGCAGGTTACAAAGAGCAGTTCAGAGACCCCTCCAGACAACTCCCCCGAGCTCCCTGCTTCCAGGGCAGCCCCTACCCTCCCTTGCTTACCCTCTGCTTGTCCCAAGCTGCAGCTGCTCCCCCAGATCCTGCCTGAAGAGAGGCGTTGAGCAGACATCAGCTTCCGGCACCCGCTGTGAGATGAAACACATGTTTTCATGTTCCCTCCCCCCTTGGGCTCCCCAAACATGCTGGAGATATTATTATTATTTATTATTTGCTGAGTGCTGAGCATCAGGCCCAGGAGCCCAGGCCCTGCCAACACTGCTCGCAGTCAGCCAGCCAGCCAGCATGACACGGGCTCCCTGGCGACCCAAATACACACCCAGCTGCCGGGGCTGGTTTCTGGGGACCCCAGCCTCCAAGACCTCCTTTCCTATCCTCAGCCCCAGGAGCTCACGGCATTTGGTCTCTTCCCCCAAGACAGTGTCTTCAGCACAGGCAGCTCCAAGGCAGGGCCTCTGCCCCCAAGAGGAGTGGAAGGCCTCACTCAGGGCCAGGCTGGAGAAGCAGGACCACTGTGGTCGCCTCAGCTCAGCCCACACTCAAGCCTGCAGGTGCTGTGGCAGATCCTCAGAAAATGGAGGATGACTGTGTCACTAGCCCTGCTGTCCTGTGCACCCAGCTTACTCTTGCCTTCCTCTTCCGGAGAAAGGACTAGAGGAAGCTCTCAGACATGGAGAGAGAACCTTCTGAATCTGACCCAAAAAGCAGAGTCAGGCCCGAGGTGAGCAAGGAAATGCAAGGGCAGCTCCAAAACTCAGGAATCAAGATGAACACTATTTCCGTGCACTATTTTTTTAAAGTACCAGAACTAGTACAAAAATCAATTATGTTAAAAATACCAAAATGATAGCCAGAACCAGTATTATTAATTTTTTCCTTTGCCTCAAAACTGCCATATGGCTTGATGCAGCACAGCTAGGAGGGCCACTTGGACCTGTGGCCCCCAATGCCTGTCCTCTGTACTGGAAGAACCTCCATAGCAATGTCACAGGGCAATACACCCAAGTCCCTGCATGAAGGCTCCCAGAGAAGGTCACTGCCATCCCTGAGTACCTCCCTGGAGAAGAAGCCATGGAGCCCAATGAAACCTGTGGCATGAGGTGGGTGGGAGTCGGGGGGAGGGAAGAAAAGGTACCTGGGAGTGATGTGCTGCTAGCTGATCAGTCCCCTGTCCTCACTCAGGAATGGATCACTGGCCCAGGGGCTCAGAGTCATTGTCCTATGTTGGGGACACTCTATGTCATCTTCACTCCCTCCTCCACCAAATACTCTCCAAAGACTTGGGGGCCATCAAGGACTTGGGCAGCAGTCTGAAGGACAGGAAAGGCACCTGGAACACCCAAGCTGGTCTGCTGTCAAATGATCAAGAGTTGGCTCCAACATAACAAGTAAACAAAAAGTATGCCTACCCTGGCATTAGGAAAAGTCACAAACTAATGACAACAGTAGAGTACCCTCCCTCTCCCCTGCCTTCCCTGGCAGCACCAGCACCATTCCTGGATCCAGGTCTGTCTGCTTCACAGACTGTGCTCCATGAGGACAGGGACTAGGTCAGTTTTGTTCCCACCTTGGAACCCAGAGACAAACATAATGACTGGCACTTTGAATGAATAAATAGTGAATGAATGAATGAACACCCCCTTTACCTACCTACCTATGTACACACATGCACACACACACAGGATTGCAGCCCCAAATCACTCCCCCCCCAGCCCCTCTGTGTATATTGCCTTAGTATACACCCCATCTGAGAGCTACACTTTCTGGGGTGCCTCAGCATCCACACTGGAAGGGTTCTGGGAAGGGTGAAGTGAAGAGAGCTCTTGTTCACCTGCACTCTCCTCAGGTCCCCCAGCTCAGGACTAGACCTGTCCCAGGTGCTGGCTACACTCCAGGCCTGGCCCTGGGGGCTCCCAGAGTCGGGAGGCCTTGCCTTGGCTTCCTCTGCTTGCTGCTATCCATATCCTCACACAGAGCACACAGGTTCAGCTGAGTATAGGAGATCCCAAAGTACTTGCCCCTTGGGGACATGGCTCAAGTGGTAGACTATGTGCCTCCCGAGGTACTTGCCCAAGTGTGGGGCATGTGTGCTTACACAAGAAAGGGCAGGTCTTCCCTGAAAAGCCACATTCCTGCACTCCTGGCAGCATACTGGACAGAGGATCTCCATGAGCTGAGAGTTCCTGGGTGGGCTGAGGAATATGCTGGGGAGAGCTGCTGTGCATTCAGGGTACCTTCCCTGAGCCTTCCATGCTCCCATTCAACAGACATTTCTCACACACCTATGCCAGCCGACCCCTAACCAGGTGCCTACACACAGTAGGCACTTATTTCTGCCACCTGCTGCAGCAGCACCTCCCTGGGGAGCATCCCTGGGCCAGGACACTGCAGCCAGTATCCAGAAACCAGCTTCACTCAAGCTTTTACACGTCTTCCTACGCCAGCAAGAGGCTCCCAGGGCCCCTGGAGATACCATCAGGCAGACACTCCAATCGGTGTAGCGCACAGTGATTCACAGCCCAAGACAACCCTCCCCAGGCTACTGGCCGATTTATCGGCTCCACCATCTTCAATTACGAAGCTTGTCACTCATCTCCAGTCATCAAAAGGAAGTGAGTGAGGAGATTAATGTCTTTTTAAAAACTGCTTTCATCCCTTAAAAGGATTCCTCCCCAGGTGCCATTTGCATTTCTAGTAGAAAGGCAGAAGGAGAGGGGACCAGAGCCTGCTGCCCTAGCCCCTCAGCCATCTTCACTGTCTCTCCCAAGGCCATCGTCAGGAACCCCTCCAGCTGAGGCTGGGGCAGGCTCAGGACCAACATCTGCTTTTCTGGGTCCCTCAAGAGAGAAAGAGGCAACAGGTGCCACAAGTGCAGCAATTTCACAAAGAGGCTCTCAAGTAGTCCCTTCAGCAAGTCTTTAACATGCCGAATTGTCTCCCCAGTACCTCGGAATGTGACACCATGTGAGAGAAAATTGCAGATATAGTTCACTAAAATGAAATCATGATAGAGTCAACAATACTGAAATTCGTTACATCTGTGCAGGTAGAGGACCCACCAATGTGCACTGAAAGCTGTTGAGTAACAGGAGGGTTGGAGGGAAAGGGTAAGGGAGAGTACCAGAGGGAGTTGAACTGACCAAAGGTAAGTATATTCACAGTTGGGATACATTGAGAAACCTCTTTGAACATTGACTTTGAAATTAAAAATGAATGTCAGGACTATGAAATAGGTAAAGTTGGGGAGGGGGAATGAAGGAGATGAAGGTGAGGGAATATGGTTGATGAGCTTCATATACATACAGGAAATAGAAGAAAAGGAAGGAAGAAGAAAGAAAGAGAAAAAAGGGAAGGGGAGGGAGAGGGAAAGAAGAAAAGAGAAAAGAAAAGGAAAAGAAACCATAGTGCAGTAGTGTGAGCCCCTAATCCTATATGGCTGGTGTCCTTATGAGAAAAGGGAACTCTGAACACAGAATGTGGAAAAGGCCATAAGGTGATGAAGAAAGACTGGTGCAATGCTTCCACAAGCCAAGGAACCACCAAGGGTTGCCAGCTCTCTCAAGAAGCTAGGAGACAGACATGACTGTGTCATGTCTCAGAGCCTCCAGAAAGGAGCTTACCCTGCTAACAACCTGATTTTGGACTTTAAGGGACCTTCCTACTTTGTAGTACTTTGTCGTGCCAACCTTAGCAAAC